GGGGGGGGGGTTTAAACCCCCTCCCCCCTGCGTATGCCATGAATATTACCCCCTTCGATTGCCAGGTACTCATGCAAACCTGAGTAAAGAGTGGGAAATGTGCATTAATATCTTTCCAAAAGACGTTAGTGCCGGGCTGGGATTTGAACGCGGTGCCTACCCATACGCCATTGTACGCCAGCCTACGCATAGCCTACGCAGGGACTACGCCGAAGCAACATTTTTGTTCATGAATACGCAGCCTAATTTCGGCGTAGTCGGTACGCCACACTACGCAACTCTACGCAAATCCAGTGTGAAAGGGGCTTAAGTCTTTGTGAAACAACCGTCTGGAGATGGAGTTGTACAATGAACAGTAAACCAGGGCATGGGTGTCGATCCCGGGGGGATGGGGGGGGGGGGATATATCCCCCCAATATTTCAGGTGGGGGGGGGGGGGTAGGCCTGTACAATCATCCCCTCAATAATTCACCATCAATAAAAAAAAAAATGAAGAGAAAAATTAAGGAAGAGAGTCCGATGAGAGTAGTTAATGGTTATTACTCGCAAGATGACCATCAATATACACATTTTGCTATCTCATTTTCATAATACATACATATATGCGAAGTAAATAAGACAACCGTATATGAGACAAGGATAAATTGAATTCTCGCTCATACGGCTTCATCAGGAATTGATGAATTTATTCAATTTGTTCAATCAACAGCATCATAGAAATGCAGTGCGCCAAATGCAAAGACGCAGCGTCAAAAAGCAACGAGCTAAATGTTAAGCGCGAAGCGCAAAAATAGCAATCTAAAATGCACATCAGACAATCCTGGACAGTGTAAACATAGATGAACTCTGTGACGATTTCGTGATGAGATCGGAGACAAGGAGAAAGATTTTCGGACATTAGTATGACTTATAAAATAGTTCTCTAGTTGTTATGTTGTTTCCGTTCACCCTTTTTAAAATTCACGTCATTGTACATGTGTGTATCTTTATTTTTGTTTTTTTCACTCATTTTATTTCCTGATATTTCCTAGAAGATTTTTCAGTGGGGAAACTGAATTCAGACAAGGATTAATATAGAGAACAGTACGACGAATCGTCTTCTTTCTCTAATAATTCAGTAAAAAAGGGTAAAGCTGTTAGGGGAAACTAAATTCAAACATGGATTAAGCGTAATGATCAAATAAAAAGGTCAAAGTACACGATACAACAAAGCGTCTTCTTTTACGAATAATTTAATGAATCCTGAAAGCTTCCGCGCTAAGCGCGGAATGGGCGAAAATGAATACAGACAAGGATTAAGAGTAATAATTTATTGAAACGTTAAAGCTCCCGCGCTTCGCGCGGTAGGGGGGAACTGAGTTCATGAAGGACACGATACAACAAATCGTCTTCCTTCTCTAATGTGAAAGCTTCCGCTCTTCGCGCAGGAATGGGCGAAAATGAATTCAGACAAGGATTAAGAGACGAGAATGGTACATAGGATCGTCTTCTTTCTTTAATAATCTAATGAAACGTCAGAAGGGGAAGGTGAACTTGATTCAAACATAAAGGAATAAGAGTTGAGAATGGTACATCGAATCGTCTTCTGTCTTTAATAATCTAATGAAACGTCAGAGCTTCCGCGCTACGCGCGGAGGAAGGGGAACTTAATTCAAACAAGGATTAAGAGTCGAGAACGGTCCAACGAATCGTCTTCTTTCTCTAATAATTTAGTGAAACGTCAAAGCTTCCGCGCTTCGCGGGGGGGGGGGGACTCCCCCTCCCTGCACGCAACCCCCTAAGGACCGCGCTTCGCGTGCTCACTATACCGCCCCCTAAAATGAAATCCTGGCTACGCGCTTGGGAGGGGTGCAACTTGCCACACGCTTCTACCTCTTGATTGCTTTGATCCATTGCCGAAAATATTTTGGCACCTATCATCCCCCCCCCCCAACCACGGATACAAATCGACACCCTTGAACCAGGGGGATGTTTCACGAAACTTGTCATCAGTGACAAATGACAGTTTTTGTTATAAGCTACTGAAATCCTTGCTTCTGATTGGTTATCAGCAGATTTGTCACTGATTTTTGTCATTTGTCATTTAAAAAAGGCTTTGTGAAACGGGTTCCAGGACAGAAATTTCATCAGTTCAGTATCGCTTTGAACAATGTATTCCACAAATAATAATACTTTTTGTGGGCAAACTTTTAATACATATGTATTCAATGTTTTGTTTCTTTTTCTTTCTTCCTTTTAATCTTTAAAAAAAAAATCAAATCAAATTCAGCAAAATAAATGTATTCCTGTAATCGTTATACAACTCAAGGGAGGGTGTGATAAAGAGAGGGATACGGAGTTGCTAGAAAATAGATGTGTTTCGAGGGAAAACGAGAGGAAGAGTAGTAACGAGATACATATAGAATACAAATAAGAGAAAAAGAAGGGTTGAAGAGTGAGTAGAATAGAGGAAGAGTAACATGTTTGGGTGGGGTGGCGATATTATGTTGTGTTTGTTCGCTCTGCCTTGAGAGCCAAATATCGATCACGTGACAAAATGAGTATGGTTTCTAAGCAACGGCACGAAGTAACGGATGCAGTCCCGAACAACGTAAGTATTTGAATTTTACGTAAGACTACGACCATCAATTATGCATTTTGAAAATTGAATTAGAGAATTTTTATCTAGTGACGGGGTACAATAGATTATGGACGTTAACATAATGCATCACTTTCCCTTTTGTTTACGCTCATGCTTAATTTATTCGACCTTGTAGGTTAAGTAATACGATGTCATGCTTGATTATCGATCGATGTTGGCATCAGTTGAATTACGTCACGACTCACGACTGAAGGGACAAGTACATCTCGCGATGCATGCAGCACATTTTTTTTTTAAAGTAAGTTTTATGCAATCATTGATTTAAGGCATAGGTGTCGTGGTCTAACGGATACGTCGTCTGACTTTGGATTACAAGGTCCGCGGTTCAAGTCCCGACGCGGCACTAATGCCCTTTGGCAATATATTAATCTACAATTGCCACTCTCCACCCAGGTCTTTACCGGTAGGAAGGAATTCATTAGTTATTGTGAGTATCGAAATCGATAGCCCAAGAGAGCTGGGATAATAATGGAGCGCCTTGAGCACCTTGCGTGGTCGATAAGTGCGCTTTGAAAATGTCCAATAATGTTATTATTATATAATAATGTATGACATCTCTATTAAAAAAACATATGATCAAAATATAAAGGCTTATAATACATGAAAAACCTATCAGTTTTAAAAGGATGATTTGAGTCTTGCAAAAGTTGCACCAATATGCTCAAGCACGAATACAAATTACTTGTTTCAACAAAAAGAATTCGCTGGCATCATGAACATGATCAAGCATTTTTGCTTGTTTACATACTAATGGTCGCTGGTAGCTTGGCTGTTGCTTGGCTTTAATTCGACACGAAAGATCAAACGTTATTTGACTCTATTTTCTTTCGAGGCTTCTCGATAGCTTACATTCTCTTCAATTGCCAGACTTTCATCATCAAATATTTGCTTGTTTCTTCTTTCAAAGTCATGTCATGGGAGCTTATGCTTTTATTGAAATGTCTAAGATCACCTGTTACTGATGTCCTCTTTTTTAAAATTTGATTTATATTTTTCATATAATATGGATAAACAGAGCTGTTGATCACACAATATCCGTTTGCTTAGGTTTATAACAATAACAACTGGTATTTCTTGTGTTACCACAAAAACGAACAAGCAAATCAGCGATTTTGTTTGAAAGTTTTTGATCACTTTTGATCTCAATACAAGAATCTTAACCTCCGAATTTTTCAGTGAGTCACTCGGTTCGAACTTTCTGACGTAGTTGCCAATAATCGGGTCGTAGAAATTCATAAATTCATAGCCCCCCCCCCCCATCCCCTCTCTTTGTTGAGAGAAGATCGGGGATGCGTTTCACAAAGCCTTTTTTCGATGATAAATGACAAAAATCAGTGACTTATCTGCTGATAACCAATCAGGAGCAAGGATTTCACTAGCTTATAACAAATTTCGTCGTTTGTCACTGATGACAAGTTTTGTGAAATTGGACCCTAGAGACTCTATAACGATCTTTGGCTAATTTGATATTGACATATTTTCCCCTCCATACCCCATGAAAAATGAATTATCACAACAAACTGTTAACAAACTAACAAAAAAATCATTAGGATAGAATTAGTTTTCATCAATCTAATCTGTTATGTACATCTCTAAAACACAAAACATTGTTTATGCGGTAGAAAGTGGGACTCACGTGCATAAAAGGTTATTAAATGCTAATACAATAATTTCAATGTATAATTTCTTAACGAATATCACTTATTATATTCCGTACTATGGCCTCATCATATGACAAATGTGGGAAAATTTGACCTTTATGTGATCATTATATTGCTACATTTTGTTCAGTCGTGCAGTATCTTGTCATTTTCAACATTTTACTTGATTTGTTTCTAGCGTTATGATTCTACTTTGGTAGTTTTTAATCAATACCATGCCAATTTCGACGTCTAGTTCCATGTAAATCGTACTTCATTTCAATTAGTTTTAATTTTATTATATATATATATATATAGTATACATTTAAATTGTTATAAAAATCGATGCCTTTGAAAAAAGATTAACTCAATCTTGCCTCAGAGGCAAATGTTCATGTAATTTGATTAAGTGGTTGAAATGATTTATTCTCTAGTTCACATTAACATCTATTTATCCCCTGTGTAGGTGGAGATAATGTTCAATATTTAGTCAGCAAAATTGTAGGATAAAAATTGAAAGCAAAGATTTTCTTAGTTTGAGCATACACAGATTTTACACAGATCAAAGATATTTATTTGCCATATATTTGGGGTGTACGTACGTGAATGCGTGTATGTGCATATCATATGAATTGCCTTATAGCAGAAAATGAACACACGTTTGATAGTCGAAGAAAACAAACTATGCAGTAATGGTCATCCACAACACAGTATTAAAATCAAGAAGTGTTCACAATTGAATTTAAGAACTGTCAATGTTATTAGATGTGCGAATCTGTTTACACCAAGCAAGGAATGTGGTCCAGTCAATGTATTCAAACACTAGTCTTTGTCGACCTGCAGAGGTGCTTACAGTTCCCTGGACCGGATGCAACTCTCAGACAATAGCGTTGACATAGACCTTGCCCTTCGTGGTCAGATTGTAGTCCTTTCCAAACAGGGACGACCTAACAGTCCTGGACCCGAAGAACAGGTCTTTGACGGCCAGTCTAAATTCCGGGTAGTGGATGGCGTAAATGAGCGGGTTGGCACACGTGTTAAAGTACGCCATCACGACGAGGACATGATAGACCGGACTGTAGAGGTAGGACCGTTCCACCCATCTCATATTGTAGGCTAGAAGAGCGACGCTATCTGCCGCCCAACAGACGATAAAAATGATGATGACCACGAACATAAGCTTGATAACCTTGTTCCGAGCGACTAGAAGCCTGTCCGATGGACCAGAAACGTTGCTGCTACTCTGGACGCCCTTTTGGAGCTTGTAGAGCCTGGACCGCAAGCGGAGGCTGCGTGCGATCAGAGAGTAAGACACGAGCATGATGAGAGTGGGGATGATGAATAGGACCAGGAACACCATGATTCCAGAAAATGTCTGAACGCCCGGGACGTTATATTTATGCATACATTTCCCATGCTCGCTGTCGACCCAGGTTGTTCCAAAAGTGCGACTGTTTATCGCGATCGCTGCTAGCCCGATAATAAGAAACCAAACTATTATCTTTCTAGGTGTAACCCAATGCTTGAACTGGAACGGGTGGACCACAGCGATATAGCGTTCTATTGCGATAGCGGTTAGAGTGAACACAGAACAGCTTATCGATATCCACAAGAAGACGGATGAATATATCAGTTTGCATGCAATCTCGCCCAAGATAGTATCGGGAACACCCGATAGCTTCGGTTGAGGAATCATAAAGATCGAGGTGATGAAATCGGCGACTGCGAGACCACCGATTAAAATATCAGTAGGTTTCCGGTATTTTCGACGCTGGAATAAAACTAGAATGACTAAAAGATTACCCGAGATACCCAAGATAGCCAAAACTAATTGGATAATTAACCACCAGGACCACGTGATCGGTGTCCACGACCAATCAGAAGTATTGGTTGAATTAACGTCATCTACGGCCGATGAAATCTCTATAGATTCGGAATGTTGCTCCATTGCGGCTTTGTTATGATTATGATTTATTCAATCTGCTCTGCTCTCGGAAAATCCTGTCCTTTTTAGCAACAAATTTTACGAACTCTCGAGTGCCCTGCGATTCAATCCTCGAAATATTGGATTGTGCGCGGCGTCCTGGCTTTTATATAGCGCTCCCCATTATGCTGGCCGTGCAAACGGGCCTCCTAGGTATTGATGATCTCCTTCAAAAAGACTAATTGAGCAGGCATCACATGCAAGAGATCTATTTTTTAACAGATAGATCTTCAAGAAGTTTAGTATAACTTAACTGTAGCCTAGGTAGAAAGCAGGTGGACTCACAACTCCAGGGGGCGTCTAACGAAAACCATAACCACGTGAACAGTAAAAGTCTTCTTACTCGAATTGCGTCGTCTCAACAATAGAACCTGTTCTAGTCACCCCTTTATAACACCTTCCCTTTCGGTCTATTCCAATTCGCCTTCCTGCACCTGGTGGAATGAAAGTGCAAAAGTTATAATGATGGATTCCTTACACAAACATATCATATTTCAGAATACACCCCTGTACCTTTTAGACAGAAATGCAAATATATAGAAGATACAATATATATTTTGCAAATGAAATTATACCGTTGACGAAAGGATGTTTGGGTTTATGTGTTTATACGTGCGTTATATTTACCCACCGCATTAATACAAGCACTGAGAGAGAAAAATAATCTGCTAGCCATACCGGATGAGTAAATTGATTGGAGTCATCCGTTAAGAAGGGCTTTGGCGGGGAAAATGAAGAAGACTTCTTGTACTATGACGATAGTCGCAAAGGCGCCACCATTCCTGCACTGTTTGACTAATTGATTATTTCATCTTTGTCATAAGGAACAATATGCTTGCCTATGTATGAAGCGAAAAGAGAGCAAACACCTTTTGGGAAAAGGGAAAAGCTAAATTTCACACTAGTACGTGAGTTCTTCGGCTTTACATCAATATTCTTGTTATTTCTATCAATTAGCGACTACCCTCCAACAGGGATGTGGGGGATTCGAAATTTCAAAAAAGTTGCTTTTAACTCTGTTGATTACAATTACAGTGATAGTAATGCCCTTTATGATTACAATAATATGTAGCGACGAGGGTAATGATGATGATAATAATTGTAAGATTTCAATTATAACTGCAACAGCAACATATATTCATTTAACAACAAAATACACACAAAAACAATAATTGGATTACTTTCATATCATTTTTCTTTCCCTCAGCCATAAGTTGGGATGATTGTACGGATCCCCCACCCCCCCCCCTCCCCCAGGGAGGAATTATTCCCCTAAACCCTCGGCTCTACGCAAATGCAAAATGCGATTTTATCGCGTGTTGTATAATGCAATAAAACATTTAAACGGTTCGTCTTTACAAATGTGTTTTCTCGCAACGTTTTATCCGCGCAAATTGTGATTGACAATATACCATTCAGCCTCGAGTGTTTCAATTCTCGATACCCTCAACTTTCCTTGCTCTGAAATGTCAATACTTCTGAGGTACAGATACAAGGTGAACAAATGTCCACCACGGATCTTCTTTAAATACTCAACCCTAGTGTCCATGAATACATAGTGTGAGAAAGAAGAAATAACGGTGTTTTTTCAATCATCATAGGAGTTAACTGAAACTTCAAACGAATTTCATTCCAAAATCTGCTATCGTTGTGCAAGCCCTATGAAATTACCATTAATGAGCGTTTGTATAATTTAGAAAGCTTAGGGTGTCAAGGAATCGATGATTGATTTCTTGCTTTTCCTTCAATCACTGTTTAGTCCATATTAGCAATTCTATAATACACCTCAACATTTATTTTGTGCCCCTCAAGCTTTGTCGATAATGCCTTTACTTCATCTTGAGAATTCGCAGAATGAGCAATCAAGGCCCTTTTTAAGGACAATGTATGTTTTTCACAAATATTTGAATTGATGGCTAATATTAGTGCTCCTAAAAAAGGTAATTGAATGATTAATTTTGAAGTAAATACAATGTGTTACAAAATAATAGATAATGGATTATTGAGTTGTAGTTTTGACAAATATAATAAATAAATACAATATAGGCCCATTACAAAAACTATTAAAAGGTTTATTTTTTTCTACAACCCTTGAATACCTCTTACCGATTTAGGCCCATGCTTAACACATCACAACAAAAAGTCATTCTCAATTTTCATTTATAATGTTTACCTGCATTTTCGATAATTTATAGAATTAGCGATTAATGCTTATTTTGATGGGCCACCCTGTATATTCCAATGACTATTTGGATTGATGGGTAGTGTTAGTGTTCCAGAAGAGATAATTGGATGATTGATGCCAGTCGTCGATGAAACTGCGGCAATTCAAGGAATGCATATGATAGAATTCAGGAGTGATGTCAACATTAATAAAATCACGGCACAGATTGTGAAAGATATTAAAGTGGTCGTAAATATCTAGCAAAGGAAGTCTTGTAAGGTAATATATTCGGGGATAATAGCAGAGGTAATGGTGAAAAATTGTTTCTTTATCGCGTAAACGTTACAGGATAACAGGCAGAGATGATGACCGTGATGTCTTCCTAGACTTCATGAGTATATGAAGAAGATGTATCCTTTGTTAAGACCCTATGACTGAAAATAGGGTAATTTCCCCTTTCACTTGTTTGTACTAAGTCAATGAGTTTATGTTGAGTTTGATATTATGTTACACCATTTGCAAAAAAACGATGGGTATTCGTTTCATCTTTGATTTCGTGACAGAATCGTGATGCCATTTGCGATTGAAACATAGAAGTACTGCACTTTTGCTGAGCTAAAGACAGACGATCGCAACTACATATTTTCAATAAAATAATCTGCTATTATACATGTTTCTTCATTTCGACGCAGATATTCGCAATTTTTCATTCAACACTTTTTTTCGTAGGCCTATTTCCTCCTTTTTCACCATTGATTCGTTTTATTTTAAGGCAAGGGGCGGGCCAGTTATAATAACCATGGGAACTAGATTATAGGATGTAATTTCATGATGCCCTCTGTATCCCAAAGATAAAATGCAGATACAATTATAGGATATGTCGTTGTTCAATTACGCACTTATCTTGAAAATATCAACGATTAAATACATAAGGACTAATCATGAGCTCTAATAACTTCACCAAAAAAACTCTCACAATTTGCTACTGGGTAAATTTCTTGAAGAAGTATTTTTCGATGAGGCAACTTTTAGATTTATGTTATATCCCGTAAAGTATGTACTGGTTTTAGATTACCTCATGAAGTGACACCATTATGTATTCATAAATGAAAATAACTACAACCGATAAGATACCCAAGGCGCTTCGGTGTCTCTTAGACTCTTACTCCTGTAAGCAATCATCGTTTCATTTATTCGAGAAACGATTTATTCAGACGTTCCTTCAAAGCTAACCTGGATCCCATACCTGTCTGAAGTGATTTCCTTCCAGGATTAATTTTATTGTTTACAAATGGCGAACACACCCAGTAACAAGACGTGTGAGAGCAATTTTAAACAGAAATTCATTAGAGCAAGAGGTTGTGTTAGCACTGGGTACTTCGTGGGTGCTACCGCTTCGTTTTAAAATCGATTAAGGGATTGAAACAAAAGAACATTTAGGATGACAGGGGGTCATCTTTGAAGTGGATGGTAGAATCAGAGTTGCCATAACCCTCTTGTCTTACAATTCTAAGCGAGTCGTCAAGATCCTACTATGGAACATGTTTATTGTGTACAATATATAAAGCTTCTCATTTTTTGAGAGAAGAACATAGTACATGAACGTATCTTAAATTAAATCCTAATTGTATTTTTGTCTTTAAAATAGTTCTTTAACAATTCACTTTGAATGTTTTTCAAAGTATTTATATTGATCATCATTTATTCTAGAACGCCCTTTTTTGTGAGGGGGGGGGGGCTAGTTTAAAATTCCTGACAAAGTTATGAATTGAAGAAGAAAAAAACAGAGGCAAGTGATTATTATCCGTTTAAGAAAAAACGTTATAGAAGGGGAAAAAGAAATGATAGCGTAAGGAAAGATAGGAAGCGAAAATAAATTGAATTTTCGTTTAAAATTTTGCTTGAATCCGTGAAGTTTTATTTTTATCATAATAGAACTCAGGATTACCTTCAAATCTTTAAATCCTCCAATAGTTTTTTGAAATATACATGATGATAACGCACGAACTCGTAAGCTTCTACGTTCTTGTTTTCGTAAATTAGCTTCGCTTGAATGGATGAAATCTTATTTTCCATCATGATGGAGTTCAAGATTGCCTTTAAATCTTAAAATCTGAAGTACAATGTGAGACTCGACAACTAATTTCCATACCCATTTTCGTAAATTAACTTTAAATCCGTTAATAAATAATACCCTGACGAATTCTTTTTTTCTTTTACACTAAATAATTAACACAGTTTTTCCATATAATACCCAGGGGGCGAAGCAGAGTTTTGAGACATGGAATTAATATGTAAATGGTTGTTTTTCAAAATACTGCTCAATTAAAATGGAGGTAATTGTTTTTTTGTTGCCAAAACAATTTTGAGCCAAAAATCATTCATTTCCTTTTAACAGAAAATGAATAGCGCAATATTACGTATTTCTCTATATTTCAAAAGTTATCATGAATAATGACTTGAAACCTTTCAGAGAACTGCCTATATACATGGATGCTCATTTTGATCCCAAAATTGAAAATTGGCTATTTTTAACAGAAAACTAAAGGTACTCTAAAGTTAACAACTTTATATGAGCTAAAATTGCACATTTAGTTGCTAAGGTCTACTTTTCATTAGCAACGTTAACATTATGAGATGTGTATTATATATCATAAGGCATTTAATTTAATAATGGCGCTTTGTGGCGAATATTTTTCAAGCTGAGTTGTCAAGTGGTATTTAGAACTGGAAACGTGATCGAATTTGATCTTTGAGAAAAATGTGATAATGATGATACTAATTATAATTATAATGATAATAATATCAACAATAAAAAATAAATATTGATAACACCAACATTAATAATACTTTTGGATCTTATAACGCATGGTGTCTCTCTGTACTGACCATAAGTTTAAATCAAAATATAGTTAATACGTATAATATAATTATTTGATAATTTTGACAAATTAATATATAACCTCAGCTCTCTTTCATCCCTATGTTTCCTAACATCGTGATTATTCGGGGGAACAAAACTTAATGTAACATATCTAAAACTAAATTTCCTGTCTACGGCTTAAATCTTCAAAATTTAGATAAGTTTGACCCGGACTATATATAGTTTTCATTTAGACAATTTTGGTTGGTATCTTCGCTAGTTTGATCCATAAATCTACTATTCTGTATACCATTTTCAAATTCGAACTAAAAAGGTAATTAATTTTACTTACTGCACTTTTCGTCATTTCTTAAAGAATAAGAATCTCAATATTTAAATGAACATACAGGTATTGTGTAATCCTGCTCGATTTATGAAAATACATTTCTTCGAGACAAGCAAATGATATTCATTCTAAAGGAAAACACGATTTCCACATGATTTCAGATTGAAATCATGAAAAAGGGAATACTGAACAACGAATATGCTGCATGAGCATAATCAGATAATCTGAGTATAATATTCATAGCATAAATATAGCTCGTGAAAATACCCATGTA